CTGATCTATCACCATGTGACTATTTTTTATTTCCAAAACTGAAAACTAAGATGCAGGGAGCATTTTATGATGATATCCCAGCCATTAAATCAGCCGTGACCGAGGTACTGGAGAACATTTCTATAAATGACATAAAAAAATCTACGCATGTGCTGGTTGATTATTCCAAACGTTGTGTTGAGTCAAATGGAACCTATTTTGAATAAATAATTACTTTGAAAGATAACAATGTGTATTTTATTTTATATCCAAAAAGTTCGGTTATTTTTGGGACGCACCGTGTATGTACTATTTTTTTTTTTTTTTTTTTTTTTTTTTTTTTTTTTGCTAAACAACATATTAATCTTGCAAATTTATTATATTGTTGTCAATCCGATGGATTTAGAAATCCTTCACACAATTTATTTTCAAATTTTTATGCACAATATTTCACTGCACACTTCTTCACTGCTTGGAATTTTTAAAAACAATTTTTTCACAAGAAATGGATCATCCACTTCCCGAAAGCTCTTTAGCAGACAAAGAAAATATGTGAAACCCGGGAGGTTTATTAAATATTTTATAAGATTGCGCGTTCGTTTTTTCGTTCGTTTGCATTTTGATAATTTTAAATGTTTTAGGCATTATTTTCTCATAACATTCGTATTACATGGCTAGCTACAGACATTTTTGTTAAAAATAATAATGATTTCTATAATTTAAAAATTTTTGAAAACTAGAATACATAGTTTTATGTCGAAACTATTCAGAGCGTTTTTATTGCGATTATTATTCATTTAATAAAAAATTTCAATGCATGCCTTTAGAGTTCAATAGACTAAATGTTAAATTGCTTTATGATGAACACTTTTTTTTTAAATCTTCTGCAACCGAAAAAATTGAACCAATTTCCTTTAAAAATATGATTTCGCTCTTGTCGTAACCTTGTATTCTATACACCTTGGATATTCAAAATAATTTTACAAAAAAAATAAAAATAAAAAATTTACTCAATACAGAATCAATTTATATGCATATGTATTGAGGAAAACATTTTTTTTATAATTTCAAAAAAAAAAAACTTTTCAAAAATGAAATACCCGCCATAATGCATGTTTTCTTGCTTCTCTTGCTTCTCTTGCTTCTCTTGCAAGCATTGCATACTTTGTTATTCTAATAGAATTTCAACTGAACTTATTAGTATCGATTTGAAAGGAGAAAAAAATATGTTTACAAATTCCTGCTTCTTTATACTCTCGCATTACTACAAAATCTGATGTAATTTGCATATTTTCCAAAAATATTTGTAACGTATTGCACACTCACGCACACATACAATCATACCAATGCAAGTACTTAAGCATCTTCATGATATTCAAAGCTTTTTGTTATTTCCTTTCTACTTTTTTTATTTCTACTTCAGTGGATTTCGTCAAAAAAAAAAAAAAGAAAAATCTACCAACGATACTTTTTCAAACTTTTTCCATTTTTCTTTTCAATTATTCAAAACCGCATTGCATTACGCACATATGCATGCATACATACGGGTATACATATATGTATATATATAAATACATACATATGCGTATGTAGTATGAGTGTGGGCAAATACTGGTAGTAAGTTTGCTTAAACAAAATTCAGATATTCTCCAACAAAACACACAACTCACAAGCAAAAAATGTTCCACGTCTTTGTTGCTGCGGAGGGGGAGAGAGAGAGAGGGAGCTGAGGCGAGAGAAGCAGCGATTGCAGTTGGTTCAACGCATCAAATGTACTTAAGTGCAAGGATAAGTACATTCATACAAACATACAAAAGTACATATATAATATTTGCAAATGTATAAATGATGAATGCAATGTACGTGTAAGCGTACGCATTATAGCAACAACAACAACAACAACAAGCGATAGAAATGCGAGTTGAGTTTGGGCTTTCCAAATGGAAAAGTTGGCTCGATGAAAGAGGTGTGAAGGGGTCTTGAACCTGAGATTTTTTTCGTTACAGACGTAGCATATTCAGAAAACAAAAAATTTTTTAGGTTCATTTCATAGCTAACGATAACTTAAAATATTACCGTGGTTTCTTGAAGCATTTGCAGAAAGGAGAGATGAAGTGAAGGAATTAAGGAAAGTAATACTTGGTTGTAGTCTGGAGACTGATATCAACGAGGCTTGAAAACTCAACCAAGTTTCAAATAAACATGTTAATTTTTGATAAATTTGAGACGCATATAGAAAGCCTGGAGAGAAGAGGAACCAGTTGCCTCTTAAGTTCCAAAAAATGGTACAGAAGTGTCTTAGTAATTTCATATTTCCTTCCAGATAATAACATAATAATATACGACAAGCCTTGGCGGCCGCCGTAGCCGAGTTGTTAACATTGCGAACAGACACTCGGAAGGCTCAAGCTCAAGTCTCGGTGCCACCAACATCCAAAAGTTATGGAAAATTAATTTATATAAACAAAATGGCGGTGCCTCCTCGGCAGGGAATGTCCACCCCTCCGAGTGTATTTCGAACATGAAATATATACTCCTCGTAAAAAAAATCATCTGCCGTTCGTATGCGGCTTAGTATAAACTCTGGGACCCTCTATTTGTTCGAGGAGGAGCTCGGCCGAAAAATCGCTTCAGCGGTTACAAACTGCCAATCATATATATAAGGCAAACCTAACTGACTGAATCTGTTTACTTGATTTCGATGTAAGATGTCTTGCTGACTTACGACGATATGGAATATCAGAACCAACTCGAATTTACTAGATTTGGTTGACAACCTAAAATGGATTAAGTCAACGAAAAATTGAAAGCCAAAATAAACTCCACGTCAATTTCGATGCATAAAACCGGCTGTCATGAGAGCGAACAAAGATCGAACAAAGACCTCGAGCTGTCTCTCGAGCCCAGAGTAATACTGGATACTACAGTAGACTCGATTCTAATTTTTTCGGATGTCTTGCTTCGTATCTCTCCCTTGGTATGTCCAACAAAGTATATGAGTAGCCCATTCCTGCTTAGCTAGGTTAGCCTTAGCATCCCTTTAACATCATATAGACGTATTTGCTCTATCATTGTGTTCACGTGAAAAAAACTTAGTGATTCTTATGGTTTTAATACACATTCGGCCTCGCTTTCTTTATCAAAATATATTTACTGCGAGTTACTGTTGGATTTCTCAATTATTCAGAATCCCCTTTGGTCGATTCGGCTGCATACGGTTATTAATGAATTCTTGGTAAACAAAAATCTAACACCCTTCTCCCTTTACTCCGAACCCGTTAAACTGCTACTTTCCTAGGGCTCCCATTATATTACCACGACCTCGCAGGGTTACCTTGCCCTTGCTCACCGTAGATATATTAAAAAAAAATTCCGAGCCGCTTACTGTTCGTTAGCAAGCCTAGGGCACTACCCCATTTGTAGCTCCCTACGTATCCGCATACATTCCGTACTCTGTTAGAATAATTCGCTGGAGCAATATCCTTTCCAGTGTCCTCCATAACCTTAACTTTTTCAGTACGAGAGTGAAATATTGGCGGCACTGAGCAGAACTCAATCAAGTATTTAACTTATTCGTGCAAAAGGTAACAGAAGTCTTAAAGCTGGAAGTCTACAGAGAAGAAACTGATATGCCTATCTACAATGAGTAAAGGGAGTGACTCCAACTGCCAAGAGGCTATGGGAAAGGCCAAACTGGTATTAATAGGTAAAGACTTGACCTCTTGATCCATTGCGCTTTGATATGAAACTCGTTCATGGTAAAGTTGGAGTAATACTTAATGGATACCTGTAGGCCATCCGGTAGTAATATGGGCGAAGTATCGTCTATATGAAGTTCCCTAAGGAGTCGACCAGCGCATCTTAACCTACCCAACTACAGCTGATCTCCCTCTGATAGACGAGAAAGGGATGGCGAGAAGTTTATTTATTTCTAACAAGTCTTGTGGCATGCAAAGCGTTTAACCCAAGGTAAGAATACCAAACGGCTTTGATGTGGAACTAGTATTCCCGTTCCAAAAGCGAATGCTTGTTAAAGAGATCGATAGTAAAAGCTAGCTCCTCATCATGTATACTCGAAAGATCAGAGTAATAAGGACCTTCTATGAAGTTAGAAACCCTCTCATCGATCTAAATAAGATTGCTTCCATTCTGTTGAAAGGACTTCCAGCAGGGGCTGCTGCAATTACATTTATCCATTCGAATCTTATGCGTGCGTGCGAGTATGTGTTGGTCTGCATCATTTAGCCGTGACACAAATCGAACACACTAACAAACATTCTTACATACTCGCACATACCACATGGCTCTGTCTATTTACAGGAAATATTTCTATAGGCAAGTGTATAGATTTGGACGAGTATGAGCGAGTTGACTCATTCGAACGCAGCTGGGCAAGAGTGCTCTCGAATATCTAAATATGTATGTATGCATACACTTGTAAAATAATACAGTTACGCACAAACACATGCACACATCTGCCTGCTGAACCAATTGATGATGACTTACAAATGTACAAAGTTTGAATTACAACTGCGCGAGGGCAAAGGTTTCTACAGAGAGGGAACTGAATTGTGCCTTGGGCCAATGTCTGCTTGCCCGAGGCTATGGGGCTGAGGGTGAGTCAGAGTCACAGTCACTGGCAGTGCCGAACAGGCATTCGGGCATCATCGATACCAACTGACAAGGCAGGTCGAAGGGACGCGCAGCAGTCAACCACAATAGCAACCACTTACGTTCATCCTTCCGTCCGGCCGTCCGTCCATTTATATGAAGAAAACTGCAGCGATAAATGCATCTAACAGTCATTTTCGTTGCCCGAACCCATCCTCGCCCCGCCTCAACCATATAACGAATAGTTCGAGCACGTGTGTGTGCAATTTAGAGCTGAGTAGCGCATAAACATTTTCTTTTGGCACTCGACAGCCAACCCATGTGCGTATTTGCCAGCCATCAGACAACTGCTGATGTCATTTACATTTGCCATTTCCCATTTCCCATTCCCCATTTCCATTTGCACTTACCTCTGATCGTGATGATGATGTTTATTCGCCGATGAGAAAGTATCGAATATGTAGTTGAGCATTGGCGCATCGGTCTTTTGTGGTTTGGGCAAAATGTATTTGCTCTCCACCGACTTTTTGGCGGAGCCACGTTGACGGCCCGAGGCAGTGGCTGGTGTGCCGCTGGTATCACCACCTGCGGTGGCAGCAGTTGTCGTCGCTTGTGATTTTCCTGCTGAATGCTGATGTGAGTGTTCTGTGGCTAAAAACGTCTTTGTTTTTGCTGTCGTCTTCAGTGCAACACGTTGAGTGCCAAGATGTTGCATGCTGTTGTTGTTATTGTTGTTGTTTCTTAAAGAGTTATTGCCTGCACTACTCCCATCGGTGGCAGTTCGGTCGTACGCTGATTTGCGATTCGAGTTGCTCGAGGCGGACATTACACCGCCGGCATATGAGTCGTCGGAAGCAGCTGCGGCGGCTGTTAAGGAGGCTGACTCTGCCGCAGCAAAGGACGGCAGCGAGGAGGGCGAATATGGCGCATCAGCCAAGTTCGATGATGTCAAGGACGCATCTAACGCCATTTCCTGTGCCTGAGCCTGTGTCATGGTCGACATTTCCATATTATGGTCGCTTGCGCTTAATAACGATAAGGACATCAAATCGTCCAGTGTTTCATTTTTGCTATTATTATTATTACTATTACTATTATTACTATTATGGCTACTGTTGCTGTTGCTGTTGCTGTTGCTGCTGCTGCTGCTGCTTCTGCTATTGCTACTGCTGCTGCTATTTTGGTCTTTGATATTTACGTCCTTGTTGCTTTTGCCATCACCACTACTATTACTATTATCTTTGTTTTTGTTGTTGCTGTTGCTGTTGCTATTATTATTTTTATTGGTATTTGCATATTCCGGGGCCCATGGCGTCGCACTCAGCTCCGCGCTCGTCTCCCCTCCATCGTCGTCTGTGGCTTGCGTCAACGAAGCAATATGTTTCGACGACATGACGTAATCCATATTATCGATCTCTTGCGAATCTGAAATGCAAATATTCGCAGAGGAAAAAGAAAGAAAAGAAAACGATTAGTCACTTGTGTGCGTAAAAGAGGGGAGTGAAAAATACTGTTATAACAGCAGCAATTACAAAGTTGGTTAGGCAAAAGCAATAAATAAATACACACTTACGAGTGCATAAATATATATACATATATATGTATTTAAAAGAGTACTCTCGACGCGGAATAGCTAACTAACGGGTTTTAATATAAAGCGACTGCACAGTGAGCCTAAAAGTAGCATTTTCAATGGGCAAAAACATCAAAATGTATTTGGAAGTAAAGCTTTTTGAGGGTCCTCTTGGTCAAGTTTATTAAACCGATCGGAGGGAAAAAGTTTGCCTAAGACCAGTACTCGAATATAGAATCACAGGAAAAGGTAAACATTTGGTTTCATTTGGTGTCTTCAATTGGCGTGGGCTGGCGAAAAAGTTAGCCGGCTTTAGTGCGCACACTTCAGATTGTCCGACCCCACAATTGCCCAGCGATAGATGACTGTGCCGACATAGTTTGATATAGAGAGCGTATCGCCACTACCCTAATGATACACTAGAGATATTGCATGAGACTATAAGCATTTCCACTGCCTGGTCTTCTGAGGGTATTGCATTCCCATTGCTCGAGGCTCACATAGTATGAGTGGGAACCTCATACTAGAGGCATCCGCTGCTACCTTGCCTGTAGGATAAAATCTCTTTTGTACTTCATTGTGATGGAGTAAAAGTCATAGCTAATTATACCCGCGAGGACCGAGAGTGAGACATTGTTGATGAGGAATCTAATTTCGCCGACATGTATTACCCTCCTATTACTGTGGGGTAGCTCCTCGTTGACTTCTGGCCTTCAAGATATCATCGGCTTAAGAGAACTCGACCCTGTGTACCACGCGAGCCTGACCCATTGCCTTAGCTCTCCTACTTTGCCTCCTTTTATAGCCTTACAGCTTTTTCGTCATCACAAGGCACAATATTTACTAGGCTATTAAGCCAGCCCGCGTCTGGTATTACAAGTGCTCCACCAATAACTGATTTCCAGCTATCATGGGAGTGTTATAGCCAACCGATCGGACTCTGCCTGTTACTCTCTATGGGTCAGAGGTGTTCTTTCACCATCTCGCTGAAGAGTTACACCGTTCGTGACTCCGGTTTGATGGGCTTTGAAAACCTGTTCCTATCGGAGCCTCTCACAGTATTTTCCCGAGCCCGAGATCGCTTAGAAGCTGGTTTCTTCGTAGGTACAGAAAGGTTGGCTCTCTGGCTGCAAGTACCTGTGGGCCGCTCTTCTAAGGTAGCCCAATTGAAGCTGCCTTTTTGTTGTTCTGCGAGGTTCTCTGCTGGGATGGTGCTGACTTTTACCAAGGCCTTAGGTGCCGCTGATGGTTATCATTATAGTTACCCAGTAACTTACAAGGTAGCAGCTGGTGGAGCAAAATCGGCGTTATCACTCACGTTACAGTTTGGAAACATTTAGAAATACTCGGCCACTCAAAGGAGTTCGATGTTTGGGCTCAACACGAAAAACTGCTTAAATTTGTTAATATAAAATCGTGGCCGAATTTCAGTGCCGCTGCAAAAAATTGACGACATAAGTCTTTAATAACCAGGCAAAAATTGACGAATGGTTGGATAAATAATTTGTTGGACCCACCATTTAGCTGGGCCTTGCACCATCTTTCTATTTCTTGGTTTGATTTAAACGAACGTCTCTCGGAGCCCTTTCTTTATAGATAAAGATTTGGTTATCATAAATCATAAATCATAAATAAGTCTTTCTTGGAGCCTTTTCTTTATAGATAAAGATTTGGTTATCAAGGTCTTTTACCGACTTAGGTTTTTTTTAGTATTTTCCCAAACCTTGAAAATTATTGGTTTTCTTTCAAGGGTGCCGATAGTGAAAGAAAGTGTTTACCAAGAGCCAGTGCTGAGCTAATAAAGATCTGCAAGCACCACACGATGAAATTATCGATGTTGTTATAATGAAGGAAGTCGTGACAGGACCGTTACTATAAACAATACTGATACTCTCATTGAGGGAATTTTGGAGATCTTTGATGGATACTACAAAAACTTATGAACAAACTACTGTTTTGAAGACATCGACATGACTTTGAAGAGAGTAGATTTATTCATAGTATAGTTCCTACAGTCCTAACGAATAAACGAAAAAAATCACGCTCGTGGCAAGAGGCTAACTTAAGTTCAAAAAAAAAAGAGGATTGGGAAAAAGCTCTCGAGCTTCAGCGAGCGATTCATCATCCCTAGTGGCAGACTTCGATCAACAATTAAATGTATTATAGGCAGGGCTGAACTGGACAAAGAGAGAGTTTTAACAAGCTAACAGATGACTTTTTTGTAATAAATTAAGCCTGCACCCCTTGATGGGGTGATCACGAATCAGTAGAGTATCAGAGATACGAAGTAGGCACCTAAAAAGGCGTGAACTAAAATCAGACGTCTACTCAAATAGAGAACAAACTTCAAAACTCTATTACCATTTCCCTTATTCCCAAACTGCTATGTGGGTTATGTATCAAAGACAAAATAAAAGAAATTTAAATATTTTTACATTTTTAAAAGAAAACCAAAATCTGCACGCGTATGCGTGCCCAAATCGTATAAAACGATATATATGTACGTACTCAAATAAACATTGACATGCAAAAATGGAATCCTACACTCTTCATGGGGATGCGAAAACAAAAAAAAAAATTGGTTGAGGGTAATTGATTACCATATCGGGTATCTTATTATCCTTTTTGATTTAATACCAATTTTGGCAAAATTAATCTCTGTAGCCCAAGAGCAATGGGTAAGTATGTATTCCCCATGGTGATTTTGGACCCTTATAAATGACATATTGAATTTAAATTGATGATCATACGGAGAATATGAGAAACGAACCAGACAAAAAAAGGAGCACTAATTACAAAGGCATTATATGGCGTATTAACATATATTATACATTGTTTTTGTATGGAATGCAAAGTGATGGAAAACAAATGATTTTTCAAAAAACAAGAACAAGCCCCCTTTTGTATTACAGAGAATTAATGTATATTATTTAATTAACAATAAAAACCAACATTTACGGCAACGTAACACGATTTATTCTCAATGATAATTCTAATTAATTAATAAAAGAAAAAATAAATTAATTAAAGCGAATAAACTAAGAATGTAAAATGAAAACAAAATAAATATATACATAAAAAAATAAATTAAATCAATGGAACCAAAATCATCTAAAAATAAAATTAAATTTCAAAACTTTATACTCAATTTATAAAAAGAAATAAGCTTACATAAATTAAAAAGAAAAAAATGAAACGAATATAAAAAATAATAAAAATAAAATAATAAAAAATATAAAATTAAAAAATAAATATAAATAAAATGAATTATAATAAAACTAAATAAAAAGAAATAAAGTTAAATAACAAAAAATAGAACAGAGTAAACAAAAATAAAAACATATATAAAAAATTAAATTAATTAAAATTAAATAAATAAAATAACCTGAAATAAAAATATATAAATTAAACAGCAAAAGGTTGCATAGAATAAAATAAAAAAAATCATAAATCATAAATCATAAATCATAAATCATAAATCATAAATCATAAATCATAAATCATAAATCATAAATCATAAATCATAAATCATAAATCATAGCACAATAGAAATGAATCAACCTGCTATTTGTAAAGCAAACAAAATAGCAACTTGAAGTTTAAATTATTGAAAAGCTTCCATTTATCGCTTCTTAAATTATTATTTTTCTTTTCACTGAACCTACAAACCTATATTCCTGCATATACCTTGACTCACTTAACTTACCGACAACTTAAAGGCGTTGAAAAAGAATAAAAAATTTTCAAAATGTGTTTAAAAATGAAAGTTACTCGCCTTATACGCAGCCATCGTCTCCTCTCTATCCTTCGACGGCTATGTCTATGCCCACAACTTGCTTTTGGTAGAAGCAGCTGCAACTCATTTTCATTTTCATTTTCATTTCCATTAATGGAGGGAAATACTCGAGGTATGCACAAGCAAGCCAACAAACTCAAGGGGTGCAGCATTTTCAAGCATTAAAATATAAACATTTCTACAGCAACAACAGCAATAAAGAAAAACAAAAAGAGGTAAAATTCAACAAAAATGTTCTTGCTTTCTCTCTTCTATGTATTTCATTTTTTTAAGCCGTTAAAGCAAAAACGTTGAACCGTGAAAATTCAAGTCAACCAAATGAAACCACCTGTGCAGCAAGTACTAGTATAAAATATATATATATATATATATATATGTTTGTGTATACATATATACGATTATATTGCACAAAATGCATAGAATTAAGTGGTGAATGCAGGAATTTTATACGTACAACTATACAAGCCGTTCTATTTATCCATATATATAATATATATTTATGTACATATGTCTCATTTGTATATTTGTGGCCAACAAGAGAAACATTTTCGCTCAAAAATTGCATCAAAAATTTCCCAGATTTCTGCTTTTACCAATATTTGCTCTATCTTACAGGTGCATACATACATAGATATGCATGGTAAAGGGTAAATATGTTCTTTTGTAAATAAGTTCATATATGTGTTGGCATTTATTACACATAAAGTTAAATTTAGTAGTAAAACGTCAATTTAGCTTTGACTTTGGAATACCCGAAAATATATTAAAGCATTCGTATGTTCATGTGTGTGTGTGAAAATGTTTCTTTGTACGAGTATTTCAATCTTCTGTACTCTGCTTTTTAACTGCAATCAACAATTTTTGCATTAATTTTATTTATCGAAAAACATAAGATACAATTTGAAAGTGACCATATAAATAAAGCTTTGGAAGTAAAGGAATTTGCAGAAGATTTTTTCCGCTAAAGTAAAAAAAATATTATATTTTTTTAGTTGAAAAGACAAAGCTTGAAAATGCATGACTGTTAATAAAATTACTAGTACTCCATGGTCAGCA